TTTGTGTCCGAACATATTAGTTATTATCATTTTGATAAGAATGTGAAATTGATGGATACATGCATACGGTAAACAGCGCAATTCATTAATTAGCTTTTCTTTTATAAGATTTTAATTTGACAATATATGTGTTAAATAAGCAAATATTAATTCATAGGTTAGTAGCTTGTTGAATATAATTTTTTTTTCGATGAAATCATTTACTTAAGCTGTGTATTCATTTGGTAAATATGTGTCTATAGGAGGATAGAGAAGATTGCATCTAAAAGTGATCCAACACTCCAATCATCAAATGAGGTTACGTAATAATCAGGTTGTTAAATAAGAATCGAAGGATGAAAACAATTTAGGGGTCAAAATTTTTAAAGAAAAACAAAAAACATAAAGTTCATAATAATAACTGAATGGTAATCATCAAAGGTTGTTGAAAGATAATAATAAGTGATTACGGTTTAATATTACAAATCGTTAATAAAAAAACATACTGCAGAAGGAAATTAGGACCGCGGAAGGATGAGAGGTTGGACGTATCGTTCTTGAACTCAGAGTTCGGGCTTGAATTGGTAGATCGCCAACACCACAGCAGTTTTTGATTTGACCTCCCTTCAATCCAGTTCCTTTGATTGTATAGAATATTTTAAAGGACTTCTTCAGAGTGACGTGTCCAAAGTTGATTGAATGCTCCTGTATTGAACTGGCAACTGTTTTGCATTCCTTTAAAAGCCACGCCAGGTAATATTCTGAGATGCATTTAAAAAAGCGATCGCTTTATAAGACCAATGTAACCTATCCCACAGGAGCAAGTAAATTTATAGATGAAAATCGACGTGGCCCAAAGCGGAAGTTTATCTTTAACGTATCTATGAATGGCAGACCAGATTCAGAAGTCAATGCGGAGCTTAGCTGAGTAGGTTTTGTCCAGGGATTTTGAAGTCCGTTTATTCAAGGTTTTGGCAGCTGTATCTCCTTTAATTTCAATATTCATAAAAAAAGTTGGTGCCTTTTCAGGGTGTTGACTAGGTGCTAAGTTCCTATTGATGAATCTGGGTGAATAACCACTCTTGATTAGTGTCTGTCGAAGTTGAAATAGTTTATCATCTATTGTGTCAGTAGAACATATTCGCCTGATCCTTGAGGATGAAGAGTGAATCAAGTCTCTCTTTGTACTCAGTGGGACCCAGGTATGGAAATTCGTGTACTGCCCATTCCGAGTTGGTTTTCTATATATAGATCTCTGTAAAAAACTCATCTGACCTTTTCAACCGGACACCAAGAAAGTGCAATTCTCCGTTCGTCTCTGCTTCCAACGTTTATTGAATTGTGGGGTGACAAGTATTGAAACGATTCAAAATTTCATTGAGGTTCATATCTTCACAAATAGTGGGAGTATCATCCATATATTTTTTATATAAATGAAATCTTAATTATTGGCCGAAATACCGTATTTTACAGATTGGCCATAAAACAGTCAACCAAGTGCGGACTCAATAGTGAACCCATTGCAATTCCATCTGTTTGTCTATAAAACTCACCATTAAATCTGAATTGCAGATTGAGTAAATGATTACATCGAAGAGAAAATTTTCCTCGCTGAATACTCTTTATTTTTATTCATTGACGCAATGGGTTATTTAATTATTAGTAGCTTGTTTTTGACACAAGAATACTATGTCCTAAGTAGCTGGAAATAAAATTCCAATTTTTAACTACATATGAAACCGTGCTGATTGATCCACAGCTAGCTTTGTTAATGGTTTTCAAGCCCAAGTTAGATATCTTATTTACAATATTTTCATTTTCAAACTAAGTTTGATTTCAATTGACAGTTAACTTGGTTCGTAAACCCCTTCTGTAAACTATAGGTTTATGTACTTTGATCTGAGCTACTGTGTTTTGCATGAGAACTAGTTATACTACTCGTATACTCATAACGGTATGATAGTAAAAGGTGTTCGTACCCAAGACCAATTAGTTAGAATCCTTTGTGCTTTGATCACTGAAACATGTGTATACCTACTAAGGTGACTCTAAGATACAACTTGATAATACACAATATCTCCACCATAAAAACCTAAGTAATCATCAATTTTGATTATTCGCTTAATCAATATTAATGTAGTGCAGCTGCGAACTAATGTTCTAGACGTTTCCCAGTGATTTCTCAATCAATCTCATCTAAAAAAATAAGACTGTGGTTGTTGGAATCATTTATCAAATTAATTCACGTTTACGTGTAAGTGAATTATGCATAAAATAACATTCTTAAAAATTCGTAGTTTTAACCTACTTTTTATTTTGGATTTGAGAAAAGATATAATGATTAAAAAAAAGTACTCACTAAACAGTTCATATGTTGGTTTGACCAATTCAAAGCCTGCAGTGAAATTTTTTTCAGAATATTTTAAAACTAAGTAGTTTGAATTAAAAAGACTTAATAAACTGTTAGATTTATACTATTAGATAAATATAATTTAGGATCTGTTGGGGACGTTAGATCCCCAGAACTCACTTGGGAAAGGAACTAATTTCGTAATTTTATTTGGAAAATTTGAATTTCTTCGTTTTCGCGACAAAGGCACTCTTTTCATCTTCATGTTGTATTTTCCACTTGGGAGGATCTTAAATGCTATTGGTCTGTTGTGCCTTTTAGTATGCTATTTGAAAACTTTCCTCAAGGACGGTTTTGTGCTGTATATATACGTTTTGATTTGTGTTTGTTGTTATCTCTCGTTTCTGGCTGTTTGTGGAATATACTTCCCCTATTCCAAGGTTGGACTTCTCCCTCTAGTTAGCGGGGCTGGGGCGCATCAAATAGCTAGCTTATTGGTTTTCGGTCACCGAGTCTTTGTTCCGTTCGCAGTCTAGGTGAACTGGTAACCGCTTCAAACCTAGCAGGATCACTGTTATAATATGAAACTAGACGTCTACGCAGATTTGAATTTGCATTATGTACAATGTACTTAATTTTATTGTAGACATGGCTTGTAATTTGAAATATCCATTTGTTAATAGCAAAATCATATGATTTTTTCCAAAAAAACTAATTTTGTTTATTCATGATAATTCGTTTTCTTCTACTTGTTTTAGTGAACCTATTCAAACTAATATTTTACGTACTCAGAAGTTTGTGCAATATTTCAAAACAAGAAAAACAAGCTTTCTCATGTTGGACTGTTGAATGGTTTATTTATAAAATGATTAGATTATTCTCTTTAGTTTATTCATACATATTTAGTTCTTCATTAACAATATAACCTTGAAACTGTTATATTCTATTATTATTAAATTAAACATTCTTTATGACAATTTATTTGTTTGAAACTTTAGTATTTATGGGGTGTCGAAAATCACGTCGAACAATATCTCAGCATAATTTTTATTCACTGAAATAGTGAGAATTCACGATAAGTAACTACATAAATTGCCACAAAAACCAGTTGTTGCTATCACACTTATTTAGCAACATATTTGTTTCTCTAGTCAACAATTAACTGATCGAAACAAATATATTTGATAAATGTAATCAATTGATCACTCATAAATTATATGGAACACTGTAGAAAATGTGTATTGGTTTATGTTACAGCATTTGTTGTAAAGACTGAGGTGATAAAAATAAGATGACAATCAAAAAATAGTGGAATAATATTAGCAAAACTAATAGTAGTGAAAAATAGAAAATATGGTTCAAAAAGCGTACATGAAGTCGAAAGATAGGAAGCGTGAGGTAGCGCTAAAACTTTTTACCTGTAAGCAAACAAAGAACGAAATCTTCTATATCACTGCATTCAGTTTCAAATTATGTTACCCTAGATCTCTAAATACAAATTATGGTTATGAGTTTCAAACAGGAAGTTATATATTATTACATGGCTTAAAATAACAAACATCGTTTTCATTGAATGAAGCCATTTATTATTTCGGTAACTCACGAACTATTAGGTTTCGTTGTAATCAGAAAAAGACCGAAGGCTTATCATGTTAACACTTTCGCACGTAGTACAGTACTAAAACTAACCATTATCATTAACTTCTATATATCGCATAATCAGTCAACTTTATAACGTGTCAATACAAATATACAACTCACTTATGGAATAGACAAAGATCTTTTATGATCACCGTTTATCATAAAGATGTCACTCTGAATTAACTCATGTCTTATTAATATTCAAAGTACATTTTATCCTAATTTATGCTGAAAATTATGTGCAAATAAAGTGAAAATGTTTCTCCATAAATTTACCAAGTCACATACTTATTTTTCACCAAATTAAAATGATCTCTTTTTAATAATAATAGGAATAGTGATTATAATATTTGAACGTTGTATTCATTACATACTGATTTCATATAGGATACTATTGGAAACCAGATCGTAATATTTACGTGATGAAACACATATGATGTGAAATCATAGTTTAAAATTGATACAAATTAATACATATTTGCAGTTACTGAGTAGATCATTTGCTTGTCTACAACGTTATTTAACATTGCAGACTTATGCTTGATGTTAGCGTTACAAACTAACTCAAAACTATTGGTATAATAACCTAATTCAAATGTTCAATAAAATTTATTTCAATACTATGTAAACATCCATGAAAATTGAATGAATATGTTTGGAAAACATTAAAAGTCTAAATCAAATATATATGTGATAAAGAATGCTCATTCGAGTATGGAAAGGAGGCCGGGTGAAAATACATTATTCATGAAGTCACTAATAATCAATGAAGCAACTAAAGTATGTTGTGATTTATTTCAGACTGTCATGGTCATCATGTATAATAATAATAGTAGACAATGAACCAAAGTTATTAATTCGAAACGTGATTATCGATGTAGAATCTACAAGCATAAAAGTGATCACCACAGTGATTAAATATTAGCATATTTTCTGCAATGATTTTCAGAATATGATTCGTTTATTTATTTATTTTATGTTGACGAAAACAGTACAGTATATGCGTTACTTCCATTTGTAGCTTTGACAGTTAAGCAATCAGTGGAATAGCACGTGACCTGTTGTTGTTATTGTTGATGAGTGACTTTTCATGAAATGTTACATTGAGTGGACGTAATCTTTCTCTAAGAAATAATGGAATACAGACGAACCGTTGAGTTTATGAAAATTAACACAAGTTTATTTGCAGATCTTTATAAATTATTGAATACCTGAAATCGATTTTCACTCATACTAATAATCTTCATTCGTGAATTGCTATTTTCAGATTTTGTCAATAACTTAAATTAAGCTTTCATATAATCTTTGCTTTAATGTTGGACCACCATCAAGAACCTGGGAGCACAGGATAGCCGTTTCGTCCTAATATGGGACTCCTCAGCAGTGAGCACTCACAATCCCGCACGCCGGATCCAGGCCCAGGACTTTCGATCTCGCGTGCAAATGCATAACCTCTAGACCACTGAACCATCATCAAACGGTGTTAATGTCTAACTTCAGTGGTGTCCTAGCACTGATCAGTTCATGATCTCAATTACAACTCAACAATCTCCATAAGCGTGTACTGATAATCTCTATTTTGATTGCTTTTCTAATTGCTTTCTATATGTTATATATATACAGTTGTACATCTGGATAGATTCGATTGTTTTGTGGAATTGCTTAGAATGTTATAAAGTGATTGTAAGTAGCAGTCAAATCTATTTAGTCTTCATTATTAATTTATTAGATTCTTTTATTCTTAACATAATGTCCCGTTTCCTACTCATGAACATCTTCTGTGCTATGTCTCAGTGCAATAAAAATCTAACTGATATGGTATTTCAGGACATTTCACTTTGATATGTCTATTCAATAGTTTATAAATTGTGGGAAAGGCTAGAATTATATTTCAGCAATAAATCACAAGCAGTCAAATTGCCAATTCAACAGACATACATTCTTTTTAATAATATAAGTAATAGCTGAAAATCAACAAAAATTATGAGGATATTTTCATGGGTAAATAAATCAAGCTTGTCTTTGACGGTATATATAGCGTGAATGTGTAGATGACAACTGAAAACTAGTATGTGATGTATCTAAATATCTAAACTTTAAAGTATAATTTCTTGTTTGTCAAATCTTTTCACGTTTATCTAAGTTTCCAAGAAACTTTTTTTCCATGATTAGAACGCAAAGTATTTTTATAGTATCTGACGTTATATATTGATTGATTTGTTGAGATAAATAAATAAAATTATGCGATGGTATATAGATGTTAAGAAACTTCTATGATTACAGTGGTTAATACTTTCTTGATATCATTTTTAAGCTCATAGATTGAGGTCATGGGTAATTTGGATATTATTTTTCTTCTATCAAAATTGTCGGTGCATATCTTCTATATTTCTTTCTTGTTGATTAATAACCACTTATACGTGTTGGCGAATAACTTCATAATGAAAATAAATCATAACTTTTGAAAAAAGTATTGCCAATTACCTTAATTTTGAAGCTTCTTTTAGACTTAAACGTGCTGATGAAGTAGAGTCAAATGAACACATAGCACCCCATACACACCGTGACCGATCATAATTTTCTGAATTGTAGCGTCCAGGACCAACTGGACTCTGGAGTAGGAAGATAATAACATTTTTTACAATATCGAATTACACTTATTCATTTAATAGGTAGTAGACATTTATCTTTACAATTTGATTAACCTATATAAGTGAAATACAAACTCAAGTATATTTATAGGTTAGAAAAAAGCACTTTCTATCACTCAATGAAGTTATATTCTAAAAATTCAGGTAATTATAAATTGAAAGGAAAATGTTCTTCAGTTAACAATACAGTGTCAGTTTGGGAAGAATTTAATATTGAAAGACACATGAAGTTTAAGGAAAATAACTTTAGATCACTTAAAACAGTGAATAGAAAACTTTAAACTCATTCTTCCTAATTATTATTGCTCATCAGTAAGTTACTAATCTGAAAGATTACTTTATGAGTAGTTTTTACATCCTGTATAATAGCTTATCGCATACAATCAACTGATGAATTCATAGCTTCTTATTTATACATAGATATACATTGCAACTCATTTCAACCAACCACAGAGGGATTAGTTTGACTAATATAGTATCTAAAATACTAGCCTCGATAGTTATCAGACGCCTAAGACTCGTGAACTGCAAACACGAGAGAATCAAGCTGGCTTCAGACCTGGTCGTGGGTGCATAGACCACATATTCACCATTCGTCAGGTTTTAGAACACTGGCATACTTATCGTCGTCCGATAATGATAGATTTTGTTGACTTAGAAGCTGCATTTGACTCTGTAGACCGAGAGGCTCTGTGGCAGTGTCTGTCATTGAAAGGTGTACCTCAGAAGTACACAAACCTTGTGAAGGCTCTTTACTCGAACACTACTAGTCAAGTCAGGGCTTATGGCGAACTGTCAACTGCCTTTGCAACTTCGAGTGGTGTCCGTCAAGGCTGTCCACTATCTCCATTTCTGCTTAACTTAACGATAGATCTACTGATGGAAATAACGCTCTCATCGATTGAATTTTCAGGAATTGATCTGCTACCAGGAGGTCCACTTATCGACTTGGAATACGCAAATGACATAGTTCTGCTTGGTGAACACGCTGATAAAATGCAGTCTTTTGGTAGCACTGAGCAATCATGCTAGGATGTTTGGGATGCCCTTCTCTCCCTCTAATTGCAAGTTGTTGCTTCAGGACTGGTCTGTGTGAACATCTGAACTAAGAATCAGGAGTGAAGTAGTCGAACGCGTTGACAACTTCACTTATTTTGGAAGTCTGATCAGCCCTAATGGGCTGGTGTCTGACGAAATCTCAGCACGGATTCGAAAAGCTCGTTTGGCTTTCGCCAACTTACGTCATCTATGGCGAAGGCGAGATATCCGTCTATCAATTAAGGGACGAGTATACTGTGCGGCAGTTCGTTCCGTTCTACTATACGGCTGCAAAACATGGCCTTTAAGAGTTGAAGATACTCGTAAGTTACTAGTATTTGACCACAGGTGCCTTGGAAATATTGCTCGCAACTGCTGGGATCATCGGGTAAGTAATAATGAGGCTGGACACAGGGTATTAGGGAATGATGGTAAATCAGTTGATGAGGTTGTGAATCTTCATCGACTGAGATGGTTGGGCCACGTGTTGAGCATGCCTGAACACCGATTACCACGACGCGCAATGCTAACCAGTGTTAGGGATAATGAGTAGAAAGTTGGAAGCGACCAAACCAAAACGTGGCATCAGTGCTTGAAGTCACTAAATCCTGGTCTGAGTCATGTTAGTAGATGCAGACTACTTGGTTGGGGTCCGCGTGACTATCATAACCAATGGTTGGAGACTCTTAGTGATATGGCTCAGAATCGATCACAATAGCGTCGGTGTATACACTCTCTGTCTTCCCTTAAACTGAGAGATTAAAATCGCTTCATATCTTTCTTTCTACGAACTAATTCGTTCTTCCTGTACTATCTCCTTATATGCAATCTTCATTTTATATATTACCACCACTGAATTAACTACTTCTATGAATCTGGTGTTCATCTTGTTGTGCTAATGCGGTATGGCAACTTGAACCGATGCATATATGTGCCTGGTCCTACGTTGTAGCTGACTAGCTGATTTCAATATGAGTAACCCATTATCTAATAATTTGAGTTACGTTTACCGTACAATGACGTCAGGAAGAAACCAGTGAAAACCAAGTTTAAATAATCAGTCACGTTGACTCAAATTGCAATTCCTCATCTATGAAGTTTCAGGAATACCAATTACACCCAGAGCTTTCAGGTATAATAGTTAACATGAACTTATTTAAATATTGAGTCCGCCAATACTGATCTACAGTTTTCTAACGTTTATTAGGAAACATAGAAATTATTTTTCAGTTATAGACTAGTTAAACACCATCCAGTAGCCTATAAGTTTTAATTTTAACGGGTCATAATTATTTTCTGAAAATATGTGCCTTATTGAAATAGTTGACATCACTTGTACAGAAATTTATATATTGGAGGCTTTTATCTGTGTTTCAAACGTCAAGTATATATCTACTAAATAGGAGCTTTACTTAACTATACTCAAGGCACAGATCAATCTTCTGTTAAGATATTTATTTAATGTAATGTTACTATTTCAACAGCTTTTTAAAGAACTGATTTGATCTGTATTGATAGCTTATCTGATACAGTGGGTCGATCAGAAATCGGGTAAATGATAAGTGTACGTGACTGACTGGTTTGCATTTCTAAAAATTGAGACACACCACTGGTATATATATATAAGGCACGGATACCAATTTTTGTTTGACCAGCAAACTTCTTTCTCATCCTTAGTGTTTTCGCGCAGATAGCCGGCTGAGCCTATATATAAGAAGATTGTATATCAGTATCGAAATTCGATACTGTAAGTCACAAGAGAAACAAGAAGTTTCGTTTGATTGTCCGTGCCAGTTACCTGCAAATTTACGCTGATACATCAGTACAAAAATAAACAGATTATAAAAAGAATGTAGCAGTTTTTATTTAGTATCCGATGTTTGGAACAAAGTTTGTTTCTTCTCTTAAAATATGTAAAGGACTCAGTTCAATAAAAAAATTACCTGTCTATTGCCAAATATTGATTGTGAATTGCGAGAGGCGCTGGACAAAAATGGGGGAGCTTGATGATTAAAACTTTTATCCTTGTCATCTAGATATTTTGGATCATAATATCCTGGTCCTATCTTTAAAAAAATAAAGCGAAACCCAACAAACATAACTAGATGTCATTACTGATTCATGATATTTATAAAACGTGATCATGGGAAAAATCTTTTAACTAGTAGTCTAGCTCAAAATTCAAGTATTATACTCCCTATTTGACTTAGTGATCCTCTTGTTTTGTATGAATATCATTACTTCGTTGCCTAAATTTTGCAAGACATACAAGTGAATGATACGTTGTTTAGGTAATGATCAATTAAGTAAAGGAAGTTGATAAATGATGAATAGTTGAAGTTTTGTGGCTTTGTTATAAGCTTTTGAATTGTTGAACATTCTTCAGTAAGCTGACTTAATGTGATTAGAAATATCCCCTGATTTCACGGTAAACTAGATAGTCTACATGTTAGTTTTATTGAATATGGTGAGTTTATTTGGGAGGATAATATTTCATTTAGGATATTCATATCTAGAATACATTTTCATTGCTCATTATTCAACTAAGAAATTTTACTAACTACTGTAAAACTAAAAGAATTTATCAAGCGTATTAGTGTTACCTTAGATTTTATGATTTCGTTTTGCATCCTAGCAGAATAGCACTGGTCCATTTTCCTTTGGTCAACAACAAGTCTACGAAACATCCCTGTATACTTTTTTTCTGGTCGCAAAAGATTGGATGTAAACGATGTTAATGAATAGGTTCCTGGTTCTGGGTATTCAGAAGTCTGAAAAGGTGTTGAGGGAAAATAGAAGGCAAAAGTAGGTAAGCTTGATGTTTCATACTCTGTTTACACTTCAAAGTTAGCTAAAGCCATATTTCTTCAAGCTAACTTTTCTATACATCTTTGCTCCTATTTGCTTTTTCCAATAGGCTATTTTCTACATTTAATCTTCAGAACATTTCTACACAAAGGACATGAAATAATCGTGGTAAAGGCATTGTTGTCGGTCAACAAGATAGTTATCTTTCTATATCTGTTTATTGTATTACGTATATATATATGCTTGAATAAGGATAACAAATCTCGAACAAACTACTTTTCAATATTGTCCAGTTTAATTAATTTTCATTCTATGGTTAACTTCCAAGTGTTTGTGACGAATGCTGGGTAGTTTTGTTTCCCCCAAATATCTAGATCAGGCATGCCAAAAATAAGTGAAAATAGGGAGAATAATAATTCCATCTTAGCAGATGGACAAATACAATCAAAGTATCAGTCATGAGGTGAAAATACTAGATAAGTCTAATTTCAACAAACACAATTCTGATAGGAATATAAGTATATATTTGAAATAGAATATCAAAACTCTTTCTCACATAAGTAAAGCTTCTCGTTCCAGTCATCAAATCATAAGGTCCGCGTTTCCCAGTTTTTTTATCCAGTAGTTTCTGTACCGAACCACTGAGTTCGTAGGTACCTGGTGCAATATTACACCCCTTATTGATAAACATTAGTTTGAACCATCAACTAAATTACTGTCAACGGTAAAGAACGACTTCCATCCCCACCACATTCTAATAAGCCTTTTGTGCAACCGGATTTGTGCTTCGCGTCCATTAATTCTTTATAAAGATAAGGATCACCTTTCATCCCATAAGTACCCACTCCTGGAGTATCATTCTGAGTAAAGAATTCATAAAAGGACTTTTAAAAGGCTTGATATTTACTTCTCTGAGTTCTAAAAAGCGATCTGCAGTTGTATTTATGGGTCCTATGTATTTTGAGGTTCCCTTCGTTTGAATTTCTCTTGGTAGGTTATACCGACCAGGTCCAAGATTTCTTTGCTTTAAAAAAAAGTTTTCCAAAAAACTGTATATTATAATATTAAAAAAAGCTGAGTTAACTTCATGTTGAACATAAAACTAAAAATAACAAATAGAGTGAAGAAATTTCTTTTTATTTAGTTTTTCATTATGCTTTTACACTTATATATATATATATATATATATATATATATATATATGCTAAGTGTAAATCTACTCGTTACTCGTCCGTTAATTCACTTAACCTAAACAACGGATGGTTTCACATTTACCGAAGTTTCAGCACGATGTTATATCAAAGAAGAGACCTACTACAATGTTCATATGGTTTTTCTACTTCACTATTACGCAGAATACCAGCTATTCGGATAGAATCCGTAGTTTTTCTGTAATGACAACTGGGGGTTTTATAAAGAGTAAAATTAAGGATTTGTTGGAAATGATGCTCCGTATCATCTTTGAGATACTTATGTAAAGTTTTACAAACCAGGGAATTTCATATACATCAATTACATTGCTGACAAACAAAATTACACACTGTCATTAGCCAAATCGAACCCGATAAAACGAGCAACCATTGTCGATTAAGCTTCACTATTGAGTTAAAGGATGATATGTCATACTATGACACTTTGACAGCCTTTTTGAAGACGAAAAACACATATCTAACTGTACAAACGACTGGTTAATGACAATGTTTTACTCAAAACAAAAGGTTAGTGAAGAAATAATGAAGAGACTGCCTAGCAAACAATACTAAATAAAGTATTTAAAAACCTTCTGAGTTTGCATTGTGGCGGTAAATAAATTGTGTGAGCTACTTTGAGCTTAAATTTAGAAGGTTGAAAATTTGCCTTGATTAGGTTCAAAAACTACGGAAGTATCTCCTGAGACTCTCTGATTGATATAGGTGTGTAGAGGTGAATAAGCCTCCAAAATAAATAATTTTGTCAGTCTTTGATGTTGATGCTGATCTCATTGGTTTTATAGAAAAAAATTTAGCTGAAGGCTCTCAGTATCTCATCTGCACCCGATTAAGATTGGGTGAGCCATGCTATGCATCCCTTGCAGCTTCGATTCAGCTTAGACCAAACGCTTCTCGACATACCGATATCTTTTTAAATATGTCTTCGAACCCCTTCATTTCTGACTTCCGATTTGACTGGGTTGATGTGTTTCCATTGTTGATGTGCTACGTGTAAAGGCGTTGTCAAACTCTGAATGCCTGTGGCATCCTTGCGCGCGCTGTTTAAAAGGATAGTGGTATTTTTGTTTGATGAGTAAATTCTAATGTTTTGATCGTTTACTACGTATCAAGACTAGTGTTTATACTTTAGTTTGATTTATTTCAGTTAAAGTATTCGATAAGAGTATCGTTTCTGTTCCTAAAATAGTTCGTCGTTGGTACTTTGGGGTACTTTGTTTTCTATTGTATTTTTTGGCACTTTGGCTCTAACGACTTACAGTTTTCCACTTTTTTGGTCATAGACCACTTTCTCTCTAGGTACTATTGTATTTAGTTCCTTTTTGAAAACTTCTGTTCAATGTCTGGACAGTGCAAGAAAAGCAATTGCCAACGTCCGGGATGTCGATATCCCGTTGAAAGCGACATGCAGTGCGATGAGTGCAAAGGCTGGTATGACGGAGTGCGCATGAATTTGACACCTGAGGCTTTCACACGGTTTAGTAAAAACGGTTGCGTATGGCTTTGTCAGCAGTGCTATTCGGACTCAAACAGCTTGATAACGGAGGCCAGGTCAATGATAGATGCTACAAAACAGTGTTTTAGCAAGCGAGATCGGGACACATCGGACAGCACTCGCTCTGTCATTACACAAATTGATGTGAAGCCACTTCAAATGAGCTCGGAAACAGCTGACGCACATTGACCAAAGGAGGAAAGACCGTTTTCAAATAGGTCTGTCTTAATTAAAAACTCAAGAAAAGAATTTTCCCCTTTCCCCCGTTCTCTAAATAATGTCCGGTAGGAAACGACCAGAAATCGCGATCGCAAGGCTCTATCTGTTTCTAGCAGTAAACACAACCTGACTTCCGAGGTCGGCGATAACCCTCCAGAATCCCACAGTATGTTTGACGCGACTGTGGTTGCTACTCCAACGAGAGTCTACGAATGGGTACAGATCGTAAGCAAGAAACGACATAACGATATAAAAGAGAATCCTGTCAATGCTAAAGCTTTTTTGATCTTGTATACAGTGTTCTTGCGTCCTAAACTTGAGTACTGCATACAAGCGGCTAGCTCCTGCTTAAAAATAGACAGGGTGAAGCAACTGGACTGATTCCCGAAATAGCGAAGCTCCCGTATAATGCTCGACTGACCAAGCCTAACATATTCTCATTGTTATAAAGAAGAACTAGAGGTGACTTGATTACAGTTTTCAAATTGCGTGGTGGTAAATTTGTACCTGATATGCCGTCATTTTTCTTGTCTTTCAAAACAGAGAATTTACGAGGACACTCCAGAAAACTTCATAAATTCAGGACATATTATTTGTCAACTGACTATCGACTTTCCTATTGAATCATCAACGAGTGAAATTCATTGCTTTAGCACGTACTTGAGGCTCCATCCGTCGACTCTTTCAGAAAAGTTGGATCAACTGAGAAACCACCATAGCCAGGACCAACACAGGCTATCAAGCCTTCTGTCCTTTCCACACTGAAACTGAAACTGATCTTTAGCATTTATAAGCAACTCAACGAAAATTTAAATCCATCACACAAAAAATATCCCTCGCGTTATCTATTTAGATGCCCTGAAAGATGGTACAAATCAAATTATACAACCTGAAATCTTTCAAAATAATTTTAGGTCCTTAAAACTTATTTTATATAGTTTACGTTTTCCAACTGAGTCCATATGTACGGCGATTGTTTCTGAATGGCTTTGGAAAAAGTCAAAAAATTCATTTTAGGTACTCTGGATCATTAAATCATATGTAATAGGCGGATTAACACTGTGTGGATACACATGATAAATCGACTAACAGAATTCCTATGGGAATATTTGTTGAGTAGTTTTATTGCTCATAAAGTGGTCGACGACATAAATGTTAAATCACAATCATGACAACAAGTCAAAAATCTGTTGATATTCGACATCTATCTTATCAAAACGTTTGAAATATATTATATTTACCTGGGATTCCTTTGATAGTTTTAGATTTCGACTGAATAAATTCGGTATGGTGGCATTGCGCTGCACTTCGTATTCTCGTTTCCAGCCTGATATATTATTTTTTAAATTGGAAATGTTTGTGGTGTTTCTTTTCAATGTAACTGATCCATTATATTCATAGCAACCTGGACCAATTGAAGTGGACATGATTTCTTTCATCCATCTTGGGTGAACGTTAATTCGTCGTCTAAATACGTGTCATGAACATGATAAATTTCAACCTGTCTGTGCTGCTACCAAATGGCGGTTTACAAATCATTTAGATTCATAACACCTCGCTTGTATTACCATAGCATTCGTACGTCCAATATCCAATACCTTTTTGATAAGCTGGTATTAACAAAAGAACTTCTTTGAGCTTGCTTCTTGTTTCCTCAGCGTAATTTTTAGTCTTTAGTGGTATCCAACTACAAATATTGCGATCACTTGAATGTACTACTTCCAGTCAGTTCGATAGGCATTTCTTAGTTTGTATATCTTGCATTCTGAGTGTTTGCCCCAGATCAGTAGGGATTCTAAGAAAAGCAGCCTTGGCATCACTAAGCAGAAAGTTGATTGATCGCAATTTTTCGTAAAAAAAAGACAAGGTAATAGTACGGAATAAAGGAGAGCAGATGAAAATCAGAAGGAGCAATTAATTATTCTTATTATGTGATTAATTTTTTGCGTTGCAGCGGTAAATAAATCCACAAAATAAACAGTCCTGTAAGCTATCTTTAAATTTTAAATTAGACAATCAGACATAACGCGAGGCATTCGACCATATTGAACTGCAACACAGCTCGGCAACGAAGATTATCTATATTTGAAAAAGATCTGTGACTAAGAAACAACTCCGATTGATGTTATTACCAAAATACTAATAGTGCCTTCCAGAAATCAATCATAACATTTAAGTTTTTGGAAAAATCCTTTGCCGGTACGCATCAATGACTATCGTAGATGGTGAATCTGACTTAAATATTAACTTACACCTGTTACCACTCATGGGAGAGTACAGGCTGCTCAAGAACTTTCCCCATCCAACCCTGTCTTAGGCAATCTTTTCCAGTTTTATCCAGTTGCTATTCATCTTATTCATATCCGCTTCCGATTCTCGACACAATGTGTTCTTTGGCCTTCCTCTTTTCCGTTTCCCTTCAGGATTTCACGTTATCGTTTTTCTCATGATGCAGTTTGATGATTTCCTAAATGTGTCCTATCCACTTCCGGCATCTTGTCTTGATGTTCTCTAAGTTTCAGCTCCATGCAGTAGAACTATCTTGATATTGTATTGAAGATTGTGACTTTGATATTGGTTGACAGACATGTTGAGTTGCATATGTTATTCAACTGTAGGAATGCTGTCCTAGCTTTGACAATCCTCGCCTCTACGTCTGCACAAGATCCTCCTTATTCATCGATGATGCTGTAGCGTGGTGTCGAGTTGAACTTGACTATGAACACCGCTACAAGACTACGTGCCAATAGACCAATAAGATTCCGGTAGGCCAAAAATCAGAAGACAGATGATGGCTGTAGTCGAGATGTATTTGTTGGCGATCTCGTGGTATCGAAAGAATACCGAGATCGTGCCAAAGGAGTACAAGCGTGGTTACTGAGCGTAACGGAATTCGTACAAGTTCAAAGTCAACGGGAGAGTAAGTAAGTATAATGGCTGTCATTAGCACAGTTAAACAAACGAGCACAGTAAAACAATCACTGGTACAATTGGTTATAATAATAATTGTTTTCATTGAACCAGTCGCGTTCTGTTGACAAAAGTAGGTCACTAAAGGAGCCCCCCGCTAGAAAGGGTTTACACTTTCGATAGTTAGCGGTTTGATTCGTGTGACTGACCGGCAGAAGTGCGGTTGTAGGACGGAGGAAATTGGCGGAACAGGAAGTGATCGTTGATCCTCGAGTTGCCAACGAAAGTCTTTTGCGCAGAACGGTACCAGGAGAAGTGTGCTGTATTTGTTGGTCGAATTAGCATACCACACCAGAGTGGTTCGTATACAGAATCCGATGATTGCGTTCGTAGTGATGTGAACCAGAAAACGCTGCAGACGTAGGACGAAACCACGTTGAGCCAAGAAACCAGAAGCGACCATAACGACCAAGCCTATTTCAGGCGAATTCGAGACTTGATAATCGACTGAGTGCGTTGACTAGAGCGTGTGTGGCCAAACCAGCTTTTGTCAAAGTTGACTGAAATCGACGTTATCAAACGGGCGATGGTCGGAGGCGTGGCCTCAGGATACAAAAAAAAATCAAAAAAAGAAAAGTGTAGCATGCGTGTAGTATAGGAATAATCCTACACCGTATCCGTTATTGACTGTGCGGTTAGTCGCGAAAGCGTACGGGTAATCGTACTCGGCGACCGGAACGTGAGACGGTAGTCTCGTTCGTACTTCGTGAGCCTGCGATCTCATCCGAGGTCAAGGGCGGCGTGGTCTGCCGATCTGGACGTGAGACGGAAGTCTCGTCCGTAGATGGTGCAGATGACGCGTGCTGTTGACCGGGACGTGAGAACGAGTCTCTGATGTATCTAGCGTGGGATCCGAGGTAGACGTAGAGATCCCGCTAGAAGGTTTGGTAGGTCTAGCATTGAGTCTCAAGTTATCGGGTAGGGCACTGTCATCGACGTGTGCTGGTTTGAGACGATCAATGCTGACGATCTCGACGCGGCCGTGTCGATCAACCTTGAAGGTCTTTTCGTGACGAGAGATCACGTGAAAAGGTCCTTCGTAAGGCTGTTGTAGAGGTTTACGTACCGAATCTACTCGTATGAAAACATGTGAACAGGTAAATAACTCTCGAGGGAGAGCGACCTGTTGATGTTGTATTCGAGTTGACACCGGAGACAGCGTTCGCATAAATGCAGACAGTCGATGGACGTATTCTGATTTACCGAAATCATTACTGCTCCGTGGTGTGAAGAATTCTCCAGGCAGACGCAATGTCGTGCCGTATACAAGTTCAGCGGTGGAACATTGGATATCTGCCTTCAAACTCGTTCTGATGCCTAAGAGAACGAGCGGTAAGGTTTCGTACCAATTATCGTTTTCGTGTGCTCGAAGAGCACTTTTAAGTTGGCGATGAAACCTTTCGACTAAACCATTCGATGCTGGATGGTAGGCGGTGGTGCGTATGCGTTCCGTACCAAGCAGCCGGGTCAGTGAGGAGAATAATGCGGACTCAAATTGTTTTCCTCTGTCAGTCGTGACAGTCGAGGGACAACCGTACAATGCTATCCATCGTTCTACGAAGCGGTGAGCAACTGTCTCCGCCGTGATAGACGTGATGGGAATAGCTTCGGGCCATCTTGTAAAACGGTCAATGCACGTGAGTATGTGATCATACCCATGCGATGGTAGCAATGGTCCTACAATGTCTATATGAACGTGATTAAAGCGAGCACCAGGCGTAGCGAACGTGTTAATTGGGGCAGCTACGTGCCTGTGCACTTTTGATCGTTGACACTGTAAGCATTGCTTTACCCACATACGAACATCTTTATTCATGGGCGGCCAGACGTATCGTGCAGCGATGAGACGTAATGTGGCTGCGATACCTGGATGAGACAATCTATGAAGGGCATCGAAGACGAGACGGCGATAGGTAGAGGGTACGATGGGTCGAGGAAGACCGGTAGAAATATCACATAGTATAGTACCTGAGCTAGTAGCTAGGGGTACTTCCTGACACTGAAGGGACGAAGATTGTGGTGCTTCTGTACAGACAGGATCGTTTGATTGTGCGGCGGCCATAGCAGGAAGATCGAGCACCGGTGAAGTAACTGCATTCGTCTGGATACGTGATAGAGCATCGGCAACATAGTTCGACTCGCCTTTAATGTGACGAAGGTCTGTCGTGAACTGGGAGATATAGTCCAAATGTCTGCACTCTCGTGGTGAGTAGCGGTCAGACTTGGTATGCAGGGCATACGTTAAGGGCTTATGGTCGGTGAATAAAATGAATTGGCGTCCTTCTACTGCGTGCCGGAAATGTTTGATGGCGCAGTAGGCTGCAAGCAGCTCGCGACCAAAAGCGCTATATCTCGTCTCCGTGGGAGTAAGGCGTCGTGAGAAAAATTCGAGGGGTTGCCAACTGCCGGAGATATTCTGTTGCATAACGGCTCCTATAGCGAAATCTGATGCATCAACCGCTATACCAAGCGTGGCTGATGGGTCAGGATGAGCGAGAAGTGTAACTTCAGCGAGAGCCGTTTTGATCTCTGAGAATGCAGTACGTGCGGTATCGTTCAATTCTAATTTGCTTGGATTACCGCGTAGTAAATCGGTTAATGGTCGTAACCGTTCTGCCGCGTGAGGGATAAAACGTCGGTAGAAGTTAACCAAACCGAGAAAAGCCGTCAGTTCCTTGATTGAGGACGGCACGTTGTACTCCTTGATTGCTCGAACTTTGTCCTCGCAAGGCAGAATACCCTCTTGTCTGATGATGTGACCCAGAAATATTATTTCTGATTTACCCAATTCACATTTCTCTGGGTTGACTACTATTCCATTATCCGAAAGACGTTGGAATAATAGCGTAAGATGCTGATAATGTTCATCTACGTTTGATGATGCGATCAGCAGGTCATCAATATAGACGTGAACAAAATCCAAGTCTCGTACTATGCTATCGATAAACCTTTGGAAAGTTTGAGCAGCATTCCGTAATCCAAATGGCATTCGTAGGAACTCAAACAGACCGAAAGGAGTCGTGATAGCAGTTTTTTCAATGTCTTCAAGAGCGACTGGGATCTGGTGATATGCTCGTACCAGATCGATTTTAGAAAAGATAGTCGTGCCCTTGAGCGATGCCGTGATGTTGTGTATGTGGGGGATGGGGTAGCTATCAAAGCGCGTAACTACGTTTAATGCTTGGTAGTCGCCGCATGGTCTCCAACTAACCCCATCCTTTTTGCGCACAATGTGTAAAGGAAAGGCCCAAGGACTGTGAGAAGGACGAGTAATACCAGCAAATAGTAAATTTTCAAACTCACGTTTAGCGAAGGCTAATTTGTCTGGTGCCAGTCGGTGTGGTCTTTCCGTGACTGGTGATCCGCGGGTGACTATGTGGTGTACCACACGATTGGTCACCGATTAAATCTCCTCGAGTGGTTTAGTTATTCTGGGGAATTTCTCGAATAAAGCGTGGAATTTATCGTCACGCGAATAAAAAGTGCCGTGGATTCTGTTCGCGTACATCGGAGTCTATTACATTAATACTATTCTTATCGTTATCCGTCATGTCGAGTATATTATATAT